GACAAGAGGAAATGGCCTCAAGTTGCACCAGGGAAGGTTTAGGCTGGATATTAGGAAACATTTCTTCACTGAAAGAGTGATCAGACATTGGAACAGGCTATCCAGGGAGGTGGTTGAGTCACCATCCCTGGAGGTGTTCAGGAAGCATGTAGATGTGGTGCTTAGGGACATGGTTTAGTGAGTTAGGTGGTGTTGGGTTGGACTTGATGATGCTTGAGGTCTTTTCCAACCTTAATGATTCTATGATTCTATGATTCTGTGATTTATTACTATTTTATAAGTCTCTCTGGCTTTTTCCAGCAAGGCAGCAAATGCTACCACTTTCTTTACCTACATATTGACAGAAGAGGGACAACTCCCCATGATTTTCCTTCTGATAGATGGCTTTTGAGGATTTTTCCACAGAAAGGAATTATCGCAGTCATGGGTCCTGGCTGAAGTCCCAAAATCTCAGCTATGTGGAACTATCTGGAGTCATAATGCAGTTACCCAGGCTGAGGTTCTTAGCTTCAAATGAGAGCTCAGATTTTGAATTAAGGAAGCGTGTAAAAATTCTTTCTGAAGTCAAAATGAGAAGTAGATGGATATTAAGTGATTAGATGGGGAGTCCTGACTGAGGCTCTGTTCCATGGTACAGTTAAAACAACATAAACATGAACAGGCCTGTGGACTTTTTTTTTAAGTTTGATCATGTGGAAATCTTTAAGGATTAATATTTCAGAAAAAAACGATCAGTCTATGTCATAAATAGGGAGAACATAATGAAGGTTAGTGTCTGACTCTTCTTTCTCTTAATTGTCAGTGTCAAAATTCGGGATTCCCTCTCTGAACATCAGAACAATACAATTAGTGTAATTTGTTGTCCTGCTTTATTATAGCCATCCAAAAGACTTATAGATTGAACACGTTTCCTTGAAGTGTGATTGCAGCACATGGAAAGAGGATGTTTTGTGGACACTGCACGCAGCCTTTTTAGAACTTGCCATGCTTCATTTTTAATTCAGTCAGGGAATATTAAAGGGACCATTAAAGATGTTGGCCTTTTTTTTTTTTTAATCAGTATGACCTCGGGCAGACACCTATAGGTTTGCATAATGCTAACATACTAAGAAAATAATATGATTTTAACATCCGTGACCATTATATAAAAAACTAATGAACCTGTCAAATTTACCATTAGATTTAGACACACAGAATAAAGCATGACATTGGAGTGAACAACTGACTGTATTATCAGAAATTATATGGTCCTCATCTTATCCGAATCAATGAAAAACGCTATTTAGTCTCCATAGACTTTTAGACAGTCATAATACACCTTATTACTAAATATAAAATTTCTGTTCTTTTGCTGAACACTTACATTCTCAATGTCTAATGTCAGTGAAACGGCAGTGAATAATTTCTGGGTATGTAAGAAATGCATTTTCTTCACACAAAAAATCCAAACTATTTCTACTCCATTTGTTGAAAACAATTTTTTAAAATATCAGAAGATATTCCGTGTTTCTAATCCAAGCAATATGTAAACCAACCCTAGTGAATGCTATGAAGAGGAAATTATTTCTACATTTATAGAAAAAGTAAAGACTGCCAATCAACATTTTCTGTACATCTCATGTTATTTATCCTGTTGCAATCTTTTCTGACAACAAGGTAATTGCTTCAGTAATACAAAAACTGGAAAATAGCTTTTGCCACACAAATCTCAGTAGTACATAAAATAGAAAGCAAGGTGTAACTATTGAACAGAAAATCATCATATGAGGAATATATTTCTTCATAGCACAGTTCTTTCAGATTGGATTCAGAAGATCATTTCACTTACTTCTGGGGATGTTTTCCTAATATCTGTTACCTGAAAAGTTCCATACATATTTTATGCTTATTAGTAATACTCATTGTTGGTGAGCACCATTTTGCATCACATCAAAAATGCTTCTTTTCCTTAGAAATAAATAAAAAAGAAGATCAAAAAGAGCTGCAAACGTTAAAAATCTGACATCAAAAAGGATGAAAAATTAATACAAACCATGTCAGAGAAAAAGTGTAGGGCAGCAATGCCAGAACAATGCTTGCAATATGATCAGAGAAAGGACACTAGCTAATGAGTCAAGACTGATACTAGGCATCTTACTAAAGCAGTTTGATCACTGAGAAAAATGTATCATTTTAACTCAGTCTGTTCCTTATGGAAATTCCTTTTCTGTAACCCTGTTAAATGAGCCCCAAAAAAACATTTTTTTAGAAAGCTCTTTCATGTGCTTCCCTATAACATAAAAGCCAGGACCTCTGCCTGCCCTTCAAGAGCAGATCAACACATCAGAAATGTAATGAGGAACATTAGGCCAAGGAAGGAATCTCAGCCTCTGCGACTGCGGGGGAACATGGATTCACCTTTTTGCCGAGCAAAGGAACTATACCAGAATTGTGGAGAAATGCCACTACTGTGTGCTTCACTGTCCATGTTTAAGCCTTGTCTCCACCATTTGTCTTAAGTAAATTTTCAGTAATATGTACGTAGTAAAGCAAAAGATCCAAAATATTTCCTTACTCATGTCTCAGTCCAATAGGTGATAATTTTTCAACACTCTTCACCCCCAGTGGCCTAACTGGCAATAGAAATTGGTGATATGCTCAATGGCTGTCATGACAGATCTCTGTGTACATTTACCCAACCTCCCAACCACTGAAAGAAGTTGGACCTCTGTAAAGTGTTCAATGATATGAATGTACAAAGTAGAATATGCTTTTGGCAACACTGTTGGGCAAGTGTGACATGTAAAGCATCTGGCAGCCCTAAGCCTGCCATGTGCACGTGGCCATACCCCAGCAGCACCGAAGGACACCCGCTCTGGTTGGAGGGCAGGGAGGGTCCTCTGCTCTAGATAATCAGGAGGTCAGCACTGCAGAGTGTCCTGTGAATAGCATGGAGATCGAAACATGGACACAGGGTCACTGGTAACAACATGGCAACAAATTCTAGGTCTTAATGCCTTTAGAAAAGTGTGCATCCCAGGCCTAAACCAGTAAATGTTTCACAGCAGAGAGAAGATGGCATGCCCTAAAAACTGGTCCCTGTGACTTCAAGGACATTATAACATAGTCCTAAAAATTTATTTTACATAGCATTTGACTACAGCTCTGGGTACCACCTCTTAGTATAACCCCGGAACAGGACTGACTGGGCACCCTAGCAAGGTATTGCTCATCCTGAGCCGACAGAAGGGCACTAAAAAGCCAGGAAGAGAATGAATGCTCCATTTACTGATGAAGTTAGGCTGATCAAAGACTATGATCTTGGTGGGGGAGCATTTACAAATCTTAAAGTTGGGTTTTTTTTAAATCATAGACAACACATTCTGTCACAGTTTGCTGCACCCGTCATCAGTGCAGGGATATTAATACATAAATAATGAAATTCAACAATAATAATCTCTTCGTCTTGTTCAGTTTCTCATGTTCCCCATAAGTGTCATACGTTCTTGTGAGTATTGCGGTAGAATAAAGGAAGGAAATGACAGTTTCAGATGGAGTGTTTTTGATAAATACAAGCTGTTACAGTGGAGGTTTATTGTTTCAATTTTTCTTAATACAGAACCCACTGCTGCTCCCATCGATGTCAAAGCTACAAGTTTGTCTGTATCAGAGATTCTTGTTGCGTGGAAACATATTAAAGAAAGTCTAGGAAGACCACAGGGATTTGAGGTATGAACACAGAATATTGTAATGAGAAGTCTTGTTGCTTTTGCAAGTGTTGCATTCTGTTAACATGTGCAGTAGTGAAACTTCAATAGAAATTGTGCTCGGTTTAGCATACTTCTGACTAGCTGTAGAACAACGGTCACAGCTGTAGCACTGTAACATCTTTTATTTATTTGTGCTTGAAAACTGTTCAACAACACTTCTTATAACATCTCTTTGACACTTCAAAAAGAGCTGAACGAACTGCAAGTGACCCAGCATGCCTCCTTCACAGGCTGGGGAAGATTAGGTATTGACTGTTTCCAGCTCTAAGTGACCAGTTCAAACTTGTTATTTACTGAGAGTAATCAACACAAAGAACGGAAAGAGCCTCTGCCATCCATGTGCTCTCTCCCACAGTGGCCGGGGGACATCTGCTGGGCAGATCAAAAAAGGTCGGATGTCAGTGGAGGAAGCAGCAGCCACACAGTCCCCAGATAAAGCTCTTGTTAGAGACAGCCCTTCCTGACTTGGGAAAAAGAACCAGCCCTGGTAACACACCTTCTCACGCTTTTTTGATCCAGTTGTAGCTTTGGATCCAGTTTACAATCCAAACTTCCAGGAACGTCCAGATCTAGGAGTAAACTTATCCTTTAGGGCCACCACGACCCATCCTGACGTTTTGGTTCAGGCTATGCTGCTCCTCATGAAATAGCTCAGCTAGACTCAGCTTACTGATTTTGAGGTGCAGGTTACTTGACCTGCTTTAATGCTTTAGGGAGTGCTGACTCTTTCCTGATTCTCTACAGTAACAATTAAAAGAGGGTAAACACGCAAGTCTGAGGCAGATATCAATCAAATGGATGTCTGAAGATATCTTGTGACCTACTAGCACAGTTTCTCCCTGGCAGCACATCCGGCCAAGACGTGGGGCTGGTGACCATCACCAATGGCCTTAGGAAGGAAATGTAGGTGCCCAGGCAGCACCAGAACCACCACACTCTCCAGTACAGCCTGAGACTGAGCAGCCATGACCAGGACAGAACATTTACCCCACAGCTTAGACACAGTCAGTTACCACTTTTTTTGTCCAATTGCTGTAGCCTCTTGATACCTTGGTACTCCCATATTGCTGTCCAGTGCACTATGGGAGTATCTAGGTACTCCCAAGCAGCCTGTGACTATGGAATGTCCTCGCAGGTCACTCATCTGTCCAGATCTCTTTCCCGTATATGTCCCCATGCTGAACTCTGCAAACCCTTTGTCAGTTCTTTCTCACTGTACTTTATCCCCATTCCTTCCTTATGTTAAACATGTTTTTACCCCTTTGCACATGGCTTGCTTCATACAGCAGAAGTGATATCTAACCATTTTACCTTTGGAACTGCTATACATAAAGAGAACAAAACTGTATCTGATAGAGATGATATTCACCTTGCAAATGCTATCCCTCTCCACGCTGAAGTGTTCCACTTGCTACTAACCTTTATCTTCAATTTCCAGGCCAGTATTTTATCCTCTGAAATAACTTACTTGCTGCACCCTGTCTTTTTCTCTTCAGAAAGGTGGCTGTTTTGTTACTCCCTCTCAGATGTCTTGATGTCTTTTAAATTACACCTACCATTTTTACTTTTATCCTTATTTCGTTGATCACATTGATTCACAAAATGTTCTATTAACTTTGTTTTACATTTCAAAATAAAAATAGATTTTCTTTCTAAAATTGAAAATTGTTTCCCTAGAAACTTATTCTTTCATAACTTGAATGTATTTTGCTTTTACCTGTTTGTCATATAACACTTTCCTTTGGTCTACAGGTGTGTCCTAACAATAGGTGTCTGTTACAGGTAGGACAGTGGGCTCTCTTTGTGTCAGAGGTGGTCTTCCTGACTTGGAAACTGTTTAGACCTTCAGAGTTCAGCAACCTCCGACGCCAACAGTAACACTCACCTGCTCTTTGTCTCTCACAGATTTCTTAGGAATGAATTCAGAAATTGTTATTTATGCAACAGGCATTATTAACATTGAACTTTATTAATAATTTGGCTCCTCATGGTGCTGTACACCAACTTTAGGATTCCTGCATGAAGATTACAGAGTAAATATTTCAAGCCAGGGACCCTCAGCTGGCAAAAAAAAAAAAAAAAAAAAAAAAAAGAAATATAAAACTGACATATTTCACTGCCCCTTTCTACCTCATCCCATGAGGGATTTAAAGAAGCCTTCTGAGGTACTACTTTTATCTGGGGACAGGAGGGTGGGTTTTTTCATCATCCCTTTCCCCCTACTCCCCCCACCCCCTTTTCCCTCTTTGTTCATTTAGCCAGAATTTCTCTGCCCACTTTCTGACAGATGGATCTTTCAGGGAGTAGGATGTTCTTTTCTGTCCTCATTCCCAGGAAGAATTATGATCAGAGCAGCCCTTACTCAATAAACAGAAGAGTAAATGCTGGTTTCCTGCATAATTCA